AGGGGCTGAATATTCGTTAAGGTGGAGATTTGTTGGGTATATTTATTTCTCCTAAGGGGATGAATATTCGTCAAGATGAAGATTTGTTAGGTATGACTCATATACCATAAATGGGACAGATGCTTGAGCTTAGCGGAGCCCATGAGCGGAATAGAGTGGAAGGATCTGTCCATAATGATCTGTCCAATCGAGGGAGTTTCATTATATGGGTTGGGGGTGCGGGGGCAACGCCCCAAATGTATGTTGTACCCCTTGGAATATATATATATATATATATATATGTCTTGTTTGTAACCCTAGGTGAGCGAGATATCAAATCTTGTATTATGTACTCTTTTCTGAATATTGAATAGGAAGTCGCTGCTCTGCTCCCGAGGATGTAGGCATCGTTGTTGAACCTCGTAAATCTCTATGTGTTCTTCTGAATTTGTGTCGATTCCTGTTTTTCTTCGCCCAAATTTCTCAACATTAATAAATTAGCAATTAAATATATTTCAGATTAGCCTTTAACTAATTTATACCGAGTAAATAAATAATATTTAAGTTGTAAGTAAACTTTCTTGCAATCCAATAACATAAATAACTATTAACAAACTAGTTTATTTAAATATAAAATTAAAAAATGTATTAAATTTATGTGCATCTTGATCTTAAATTATAATATTTTACTATTAAGCATATTATTAATTAAATTTTAATTATTCAAATTTTGTTTAAATAATAAATCATATAAACAATGAGTATTTAAAAATTATTTGTTAAACAACAAAAGAGTGTTCATGAACATTAACAAAAGAGGTGCACTATTCAAATTTGGTTCATTTAACCTTCAAGTATTTTTTTAAAATGTTCGTAGTTATTTATTAATTTGAATGAACATGATTTAGTATTAATTTAGTTGAGTCCGAGTTGTCTATCAAATTCAATGGTCCTTTTATAATCCTATGCATCATACGCCTTCAGTATATCAAATTGGAGCAACATTTATTGACAACAATAATGAAGCATTAGTCACCTGAGACTAATGCCTTTAACCTACCGATTGGTAAGATGATTATTGCGTTATACGACAATGAATTTATTTTGAGAATACGTATTGATTGTCATATATTGATTGGATGAAATGTGGTTGGTGAAGGACATAGATGGCCTTCATATCTAACTATTATGATGATCTTTGGGGGCAATCATCCACAACATGAGATAGTTTATCATCACCAATAATATACAGATATCACCGCTACTTTCAGAATGTGACAGGCTCATACACATTTATGCTTGCTATTATAAGGCTTTGTTGGACATCCTATACTCTTAGATTTGGATGAGATTGGCTTCTTACGACATGTGCATGCGTCTATTTTGTTCATATTGTAGACTAGGGGTGTAAATGAGCCGAACACGAGCAAGCCCAAGCCCAGCTCGTGTTCGGCTCGTTTATATTTCGAGCTCAAAAAGTGTGTTCGTGTTCGACTCGTTTGCTTAGCGAGCCGAACACGAGCCGTTCACGAACAAAGAGTCATTTTGACAACCCTAATCACATAGTCATATGATGTTAAGAATTGGGACAAGGTTTAAAACATCATTTGAATTGTCGAATTTAATAATTTTTATTCTATTTTTTTCATTAATACTTTTAATTGATTATAAATCTTTGTAGCCTTGTAGTCAATTAAATTATTAAAAAACACTACTCATCAAATTGATTAGTAGTATTTCGAGTCAAAACAAGTCGAACACGAACAAACAAATATTTGTTTGTGTTATTCGTGTTCGGCTCGTTAACTTAGCGAATGAGACGAACACGGCCGAATAGGAGTTTCTTAACAAGCCGAACATGAGCTGTTCGCGAACAACGAGCCATTTTAACAGCCCTACTGTAGACTTTATTTCTACTCGATATTTCAAATTGTGAGGCGTTTTTACAAATTTTAATGCTCTTGAAGGATATAATTGAATTCTCATAATATTCCATAGGCGGGGCAACGTCAACGCACCTGTATAAAGAGTTGAGAGTGACTACGAGGCTTTGGCATGTGTGCATGAAAGATTGCCTACACCCGCTACATGTTTAAATTTGGGAGCATATGAACATCAGATTACTTACTTTACACATCTCATACCCTGGAGAGCATGAGTGGAAGAGCTTAAGCTACATGTATCCATATAATCTTAAAGAGTGATTCTCAATATATCATATTTATACATTACATTAGTAAAATTTACTTCTGTGGATAGAATGGGTAATAAAATTAGAGAGATACAACTTGCGGTGCTTAAGACTTGTAAAGATGAAATTGACATGTTACTTCAAAGCTCGATCAATGTTACTGGAACGCTGTTATATATTTATTTTATTTTCTTAGAAACAATAAGGATAATCATACAAAATCAATCTGGAAGAGGTTATATGGGAGCCCTACAACATATAAATTATTCAACATATATAACAAGCTCGTGTTCACCTCTTCTGGTAATGTCAAGTTGAATGACACTAGATCATGTGATGAGATAGTGTGGTTCTATACAATGCATTGATATGGAGTCATGGAGCCGAGGTTTCAGTTTGATGTCCATTGAATGGACTTTCAGCTTACTCATATTGCACTATGAAATGATCGGTATGAACTCATTATCTAGGTTGATCAATATTATGAGGGTGATGACGGATGTTTATTTAAGTACTTGTGTTGGTATAAATTATGAGCGTCTTTAAATTTATTGAAGACACCTACAGAGCCACTTGGCGACCTTCAACTTAAGAGCCTCATAAGAGAAAATATTGATACATTTTTATATTTTATTTATCTATTACTTAGATAATATATGTACGTGATTGTATTATTTAATATGTTCTCAATCGCTATTTTTTGGAGTCTGGTGAGACATTACTGTCATTCATTGGTAGAGATGAGGATAATCCTTTACATCATGCAATGAATCAAATTGAGAAGCTATATAGTGAGGTCATTCGAAGCATGTATGCTATTGATGATAAGCATGATATCATCTTATGAACAATATGATGCTAGTGTATCAATCTCTCCACCTCAAACTCAAGACCTATAACCATCCTATTACACAGATCCTTCCTAGTTATATATCGAATCACATTATCATTCCAAGCCACTAAATGTCCAAGTAATAACCCTTCTTCATACAATGGCAATCATTCAACATGAACTGGAGCCAACCAAATGTATGCTCTACACAACCACGCACCATTATGCTTCTGTTCACATGTACCTTTGGGGATAACAGAAGGTCAATGCTCTTGATATCACAAAATACAAGCAATTTTGGATGCCATCAACATAACTATCATAGTAACATCTATGGGTATCAATTCGGGTTAGCAATTATGATTCGAGTCTGACCCGAAAATGACCTGATCCGAATGATGTCAACCCAAACCCGATCTGAATAATAAACGAGTCGAAAACTAAGACCAGAACCAGAGCTCGACTTGCTAACCCAATCCCAACTTGAAAATTCGTGTTTATTCAAGTCATGTTTGGATTTTCCCGAACCCGGCCTCAATAATAAACGGGTCGAATTCTCTAACCCGAACCTGACTCAAAAAACGTTTGGGTCAACCCTAACTCGGATTTTTTCGAGTCAAGTTCGGGTCGTGTTGGCGTGTCGGATCAATTTTTGACACCCATAGCAACATCATAGTATGACACAATGTAGCAAACACTCATACCATACGAGGAATTAGAGATAATTGATCCCCGCAAAGCATGGGGTGTTACTAACAAGAGCGTAGTGGATCATGATCTAAGAGAGGGCGACATCTTCAAGCTTCATATCAATGTAAGCCAGAGCCTGATGCCATACCACAATGGTGAGGACAGAGAAAATAGTTTTCCATTGATATGTTGCATTTAGATGACTTGTGGTACACGTTTCTTGTCAAAATAATTTATAGGATTTAAAAGACCGCAGTAATTGCGAAATAGAAATCGTGGCCAAATTTGAATTTCACAAGGACCGTTGGGTTTGAAAAAAATAAATAAATAAATAAATAAGAAAATGGTACGATTTATGCAAAAGAAATTGTACTGATGCAACACGACTTTGCTCTTTTCTAAATTTAAATTTAAAAACGATATTATTATTAAATATTAGAGGTATTTACATACATGCCATCCAATCGATACACATTTACACATCTAACCCATAAGCTTTACTTCTTATATTTATACCAACCAAATGTTTGAGCATATAACAATAAAATACCCTTTTCAATAAGGCCGTCAAAATGGCTCGTTGTTCACGAACAACTCATGTTCGACTTGTTCGCTAAGTTAACAAGCCGAACATAAACAACACGAACAAATATTTATTTGTATTTTCTTAGCCTTGTATTTGTTCGTGTTCGGTTTTTGCTCACAATACTACTAAACAATGATATATATATATATATATATATATATATATCTTTGATGATAGTTATTTTTAAAAAAATAAATTGAATACAAGACCACAAAGATTTATAATCAATTAAAAATATTAATGGAGAAAATAAAATAAAAATTATTAAATTAAATTCAAATAATATTTTAAATCTTGCCCCAATCCTTAAAATCTTATGACTAAGTGATTAAGGTTGTCAAAATGACTCTTTGTTCGTGAACGGCTCAAACTTGAGCCGAACACGAACACACTTTTTGAGCTCGAAATATAAACGAGCCGAACACGAGCTGAGTCTGGCCTCGCTCGTGTTCGGCTCATTTACACCCATACTTTTCCATGCATATAAAAGAGCATATATACATATTTGTTTGTGTCTAAGAACAGACTCAGCTCGTGTTCGGCTCATTTACACCCATACTTTTCCATGCATATAAAAGAGCATATATACATATTTGTTTGTGTCTAAGAAAATTGATATTTTAGGTATTAAATATGTAAATACATAGGAATTGAGTGCTATGTATGTAAATATTCATAGACATTATTTAAATTGAGATGGAAGGCATGAGGCACTTGGACAAACACATCCGACACCACGTGTCCCAAGTAATTAATATATTTTAAAATATTACGGCAGTGCCACCATAACTCCAACCTACCCAACCCACTAATAAAATTCGAACGTTAAAATTTGCAATAAATATTAATTCACTACGACGGTCCTTATTTTGACTCGCATAAACTAATCGTAGCTGACATAAATAATTACTGCTAAAAAAATAATAATGGAAATTAAATTACAATTAATCTCCCTTAATCCCCTTCTAGAGTGAGCCGCCAGACGACTCACATTAATACAAGGAGAATATCGCCACCGTCACGCTAGCCGCCGCCACCGCCGCCGTTCGCCGGAGCTGCCTCCACCTCCCCTACAAAACAGTGAAAACAATTTCAATTTTAATTGTTCGAATGTCAAGGGAGTGAATATTAAAAAACTTGGGTGGGAATATTATATTATTAAGATTTACAGGTTTTTAAATTATAATTTAATAATAAATAATTGATTATTCATATATTATATTTATTTTAAAATAAATTAATATTTTTTTAAATTTAATTTATTAGATGTTCTAATGTAATCACAATTTTGATTTAAATAGTAACTAGTTGTCACCTCCCAAAAGAGCTGTTAAGAGAAATGGACAGCCCAAGATTTAAATACTACTTTTCGGCTCTACACCTAGCCGATGTGAAACTATTTGTCCATGACATTCTCCTCCACTCAATCACGAGATGCCCTCGTCACTGATTGGTTTCAGCAAGGGTCCCACTGGACCATGGAGAGTCCATACACCTGACAGACAGTAATCTACTCTGATACCACTTGTCACCTCCCAAAAGAGCTCTTTTGAGAGGTGACAAGTGATTTTAAAGATTGGAGCAGGATTGACTCGATAAAAATTTGATCCAAAAGTTTAGCTCCTAGCTCGACTCATTTATTTTAATTCAATTTCAATCCGAGCCAAACTTTGAATCAATTTTTAAGCGACTAATGATCTTCGAGCCAAATTCTTTATATTCATAATCCCAACATCACTAGAGTTGTTAATGATCTGGAAATAAAAATAAAAATCCAAAATTTGAGATCTTAGCTCAGTTTATTTTTTCCAATCCGAGTCAAAATGAATCAAATTTAATGGCATGAAGTCACTTTCAATTATAACAATTGTTTTAGATATGAGAGGATAAGATAAATGTAAACTAATAATTGAGGTATCAGAAATATCAGTCGGCTGAAATTTTAAATACTGCATCAATAATATCGATCGATCACGAAGTGCACGAATTTAAAAGCGGCTGATCTGCAAAATCACACATTTCTAAGGGGGCCACCAGAAAACTTACCATCGCCGACGATATATCGTAATACCCCGACGACGAGCCACCACTCCCGCCGCCGCCGCCTCCCGGTCCTCCACCTCCTCCTCCGCCGCCGCCACCCCCGCCGCTGCCACCATGACCGCCTCCAGAAGGCGAATCAGTTGAGTTCTCCGGCGGAACATTAATCCCGAGAGGATACGTGGGAGTTCCATCAGGCTTAAACAACCCATAATTCCTCTCCGATGCCGGGCCTGGTTTCAAATTTTCGTTAAACATAGCAAAAATGTAAACCCTAAGCGGCGTATCGGGTTTCACTGGAGTCCCCTTCTTCTCCCCAACCAACTTCATCAAATTTCCATTATACTTCGCTGCATTCTCCGGCGTTGCTCCAGGCTCATCCTGATCACCCCCTGATGGCCACCCCGTCTCGGAAATCCAAACCTCAAGTCTCTTCGGCCCTTTTACATCAGCAATCGCCGCGTAAACCGCATCGACCTGAGCATACAGCATGTTCTCATACTTCAGCCCTGTTTTGGGATCGATCACGCCGGGATTCGGCTCGAATAGAACGTAATCGAGGGAGATGTTTCCCGGATCGGACTTGTAGGCGAAGTAAGGGTAGGCGTTGATGAGGAGAGGGGATTTGGTTCGGGAAAGGAAGTCGAAAATGGGGCATAGGAAAGGGATTAGAACAGGGCGGAATGCGCCGGAGGAAGGGGGGTAAGAGGAGGCGAGGATGGCGACGGAATGTGAGGTGGTGACGGAGATCTGATGGTCTAATCCTAGCGTAACGAGGGCGGAGTGGAGGGATTCCATGGCTGGGAGGAGAGATTGATAGCTGGAGGTGTTGTTGCTGGTGAGGACCTCGTTTCCGACGGTAATGGCGGAGATTTTAGTGGAGGGAACGTAGGGTTGGATGTTGGAGCGGATCCATGTGAGGGCTTCGTTGGGATCGCAAACTTTGGGGATGCAACGATCGGGGAGGCCGACGATGAGCTCGACGCCGGTGTTGGAGAAGGCGCGGAGGACGGAGGGTTCGGTGCCGTACAGTCTTATGCGGCCGACATTGATGGAGTGGAGGAGAGGCGTCACTTTGTATGGGGAGAGAAGGTTGTCGCCGAGGAGTCCATAGTTGACTCCGAGGAGGGAGGAGGAGGTGGCGATGGAGAAGGGAAGGAGGAGGAGGAGCAGAGGGGTGAGGAAGGTGATAAGAGAGGCGATGGCCATTTTGCTCGCCAGTGGGTAACAGGGAGTAGGCGTTTAAAGTGTAAATAGTGAGAAAATAGTATTTCTAAGTTCTAATTATTACCTATTATTTTAATTTTCATGTATATTAATAAAATATTATTGAAAATATGAATTATATATATATATATATA